GGAGCAACTGGCCGGGTCTACTGGACGGTCATTTTCTTCACCGGCCAGGATTGGCATCCTGGAGCTTTTCTAGCCAGTACAAAGATCCTTTCAATAGAAGGTGAGCCTTCTTCCTAGAAAGCAGCCACAGCGCCGGTCTCCACTCACAACAAGAAGGCCAGGAGGTGAGCCCCCCCCCTGTCACTGGCCCCTCCGGCAGCTGCTGTGGAGTTGCCTGATGCCAGCATGCCTCGTTTGTGGTCAGCTGGAAACTCGGGATGTGCACAAGCAAATGCAGGTTTATACCTTTTACTTTTCTTGACTTTCAGTACTGAAAGCTTCCCTCCCTTGTGCCCCCCACACAGCCCCCACCGACTCACAGTGGGCTGCTCAAACAGGCTTTGCCCATCCCAGATGGGGCCTCCCTGGGTGCATTGGCCTCAAAGCGCTGCAAGTCCCACCTGCTTTTAGCACTTTCTGGAAGTCTCTTTCGTGCCTCTGGGTGCTTCTCCACCTGAGTCCCATCCCCTCATGCAGCTCTGTTCGAAAGGCCTCTTGTTACACATGTTTAGAAGTCTGCTTTCTGGTCATTTCCCCCCTCCCCCAGTTGCAGAGGCTGGCCTCTTCCGGAACAGCAATGGGTCAGCTTTTAGGGTCTGCTTTGGGGCGGTGGGGGTTCGTGGAGGTTTCCTTCACCGAGATGCATGGCACAAAATGTCTTCCCTTTTGCAACACGACAGCGAGGCACTCCAAAAATCACACGACGCTGTTCAACCTCAGCAACTCCTAAGATCTGTGGACTCCAACTCTCAGAATGCCCCACTCGGCACTGCAAGCAGTGGTGGGATTCAGCCGGTTCGCACCACTCCGGCAGAACCGGTAGCTAATTTTTTTGTTGGCCAGGCCCAGAATGGACTTCTGGAAGCAGCATCCACACAGAGAACCCGGTTGTTCACCTATTTGAATCCCACCACTGACTGCAAGCCATGAGATGAGCTAACTTAGATATCCCGGTAGATGGTTAATGCGGTGGTAATGCTGGCTGGGATCAGCTCAGGAGGCCCCGCTTGTGATCCTGCCCTCCCAGTACCAGTAGATCCATCCTGGGTGCTGGCAAGCACTGGGTTCCTGCGCCTGCAGGAGGTGCTTTGTGGCTGGCCGGGCGTGTCTTGAGAGAGCCCGTCAGAGGCCGTCTTCCAAGGCCATTGGATGGTTCTTTCTGGACAAACGGAGCCGAAGGGCCCTGCGATCGTCAACTGGAGCTGCCGTGCAGGATACCCTGGATCTCCCCCATGTGCCAGAGGGAAACTGCCGGAGGTGCAGGTCTGGCAGCTGGTTTCAGATGCTGGGAGGCCTCCACTACTGCTTGGGATCTAGCTGGCCAGAGGGGTGTGAGCATGGCTGCTGCTCTGCTGGGAAACTGAGCTGGTTCAGACTTGCACTGGTCCTCCTTTTCTGACATCGCTGCCGGCAGCCCCTTTCAATTAACACAGTTGCGCAGCTGCTCCATGGACCACTCCCCCCAGAGAGCTTTAAAAAAAAAATCTTGCTGAGCTTCAGCAGTTTGTTCTCTCAGCCTTTCCAGGGTTTTGTAGACTTAAAAAGCTGAGCCAACGTCAGAGCAGAGTGTGGAGGGCTTGGTCAGTCTCGGGGGTGAAAGGCTGTTTGGCAAAGAGGGGCAGTGGAGGAGTCGCCCCTCTCCCCTGCTGTGTCTTGCCCAAGATGCCTGGCGTGCCCCATCTGGCCCTGGGGAAGTCGCTGTGTTAAGGTAGGCTGTACAACCGTCAGTCAGGGAGTGAGGAGATCTGATGGCTCTGCGTCATCAGTCCGCCTCATTTTTTTTCTCCTCTCAGATAGCTCAAGGTGGGCACCCCCTCCCCCAAAGTCTTGTGCCCCAAATTCAGTCCTTCTCTTGAATGTGCTCCTGGTGCTCAGCTGCAGCTGGATTGAGCTCTTCCTGTCCGGGCACTGAGCCTTCCTCCTCCTCCTCCTCCTCCTCCTCCTCGATGGGGGGCTTTGGGTGGGAAAGCAGGGCATTATTTCATGAAAGCTAGAGGGACTCGCCACCCCAGTGGATCCCCAGGAGGAGCAGGCTAAGATTTGGGGGCTGCTTCATCTGATCCTTTAATGAGTGCTAAATGTGTTCTGGAGCCTCCCACTGAGCTAACCATTAAAGACATGGAGTCCCCTGATTTGGGGTTCTGGGTCTGGGGTTCTGGGACTGCACATACCTCATCTGAGTCTTCCTCTATGGACCATCGGCTCCTTTACTCCTTGGCTGATTGATTTTCCCGTCTTTCCTTCAGGAGCCCAAGGTAGCATTGTTGTGGCTCCGTCCTGTGGGTCCCTCTCATCGGAGGAGGAAGGCTCTGAACATGAAGGAGAGGAGATGGCCAGGCCTCCCTCTCCAGGACCTTCCCCTCTGGTGCAGCCTTCGGTGCCTTCCGACGGAGAGGAGATTGGCCAGGAGCCAGGTGCTTCTGGGATTGGCCAGGAGCCAGGTGCTTCTGGGATTGGCCAGGAGCCAGGTGTATCGGACTCCGAGGAGGATACGTCTTGGCTGGATCCACGCCAGCGTCGGAGGGACAAGCGTGCGCAGCAGCTAAAACGCCATGCCAGAGATTTCAGCTGAGTCACTGGGCCACACCCCACAGGCTATATAAGCAAGGGGTGTGCCATTTGAAACTCTTGTGACGAACAATTTTGCTGAATCTTATGTTGCAGCACTCCGGCAATTATCCTGGACTTGTGTTTGTATCGTGTTATCAGTAAAGGTCTTGGCAGGCAGCCACGGAGTTGCTGCCAAGTGTTTATCTGTATTTGGCAGTGCTGAGCAGTCTTTTAGCCCTCGGCTGACTGGTTGGGGGGTGTGAGTCGGACGGGGGACAGAACAAGCATACATGTCTTGGTTCCGATAGATGAAACCCATCAAAAGAACTTCAAGGCAAAATTCTTCCTGAAAGAACATTTTATTCAGGAAACAAAGTATTGGCACTACATAGTTGAACCCCAAAACTAAATTCCCTTCCCCCAGATATAAAGTAACAGTGCAGAACAAAGTGCAGTTCCCACCTCAATAAGCTGTCATAAATCACATTCTCCAATTAGCCTAAAACTCGGGCTTTCTCCCCAGCTCCTCAGCCCGCCAAACCGTTATCAGCTCGTCCTTGGGTTTCCACAAAGCAGAGCTGCTATTATGGCTAGCTGAGCTCAAACTTTCATCCCCCCCCCCCCACTTCTGCACCTGATTTCTAAACACCAGAAGAAGCATGTTAAAAGCAAAGAGAAAATGGCTGCAATTTTCATCAGTTGTCAGAGCAAGAACATCCAATGTTTACAGCGTTGACATCCATAGTGCTCTCTAGTCCTGTTTTCCCCCATGTCAGTCCTGGGTAATAGATTTGGCTGAGGAGAAATGACTGGGGGAGCTTCCATAGGAGAGGAGAGTCTGGAACCTTCACGCGCCATCACCCTGGCTCCTGAGCACGAAAGGCACTGGGAGACTTTTCAGAGTTGGCTTAGGTTAGGACACAAGAGGGCAGACAGGGCTGCACATTACAAGGACCTTAAACCAGTGGTTCTCAACCTTTTTAATGCCGCGACCCCAACCGGTCGTAAGTCGAGGACTAAACCGGTCGTAAGTCGAGGACTAAACCAGTCGTAAGTCGAGGACTACCCAACCGGTCGTAAGTCGAGGACTTTCCCTGCCCGGGAGCGCCGTGCATGTGTGGTTCCGCTCCCTGCGCCAGCCGAGGCATAGCTGGCAAGCGGCAGAGACGGAGCAGGCCAACCACCAGCTGGCCCAGCCCAAGGGAGGTAAGGCACCTGCCGGAAAAGGGGAAAAAATATGGTGGACAAGACAAAAAAAATGGCGGACAGCCTTGCTTGGCGACCCCCGTGAAATGGTCAATCGACCCCAAATGGGGTCCTGACCCACAGGTTGAGAACCACTGCCTTACACGCTGTCCGGAGGAGTCTCCATTAAAGGGACAGGTATGGGGTGCTTATCTTGAATCCCCCAAAGCTTGGAGGGTGACAGATCCTCCCTCCCTCCGCCATGCAGATGTAGGTTGGATGAGTAGGAGTTGCTTACCCATCTCCCCTGACAGCTTGGTTCCCCATTCCTTCTCCAGCTTTCCCTTTTGACTGGCTGATGCTGGACCGCCTCTTGCAGGAATCAGCGTCTATTTATCTATTGGGCAACAGCTTCCAAAGTTCAGGCACTTCTCCAGCCCTTCTGACAAGTGGAGGGACAGCCCTGCTCTGAAAGGACTGGGAGGCTGAAGCCGAAAGGCAGATTTTCCCGGAGCCACTGCTCATCCTGCACAGCATCTCAGGGTACGTTAAACTTGGGCTGCTTTATCCCAGAGGTGCTGTTCAAAAGGCAACTGGGCTTTCTTGGCTTTTTCCTTGAAAATGTTTTGCTTCTCATCCAAGAAGCTTCTTCAGTTCTCTGAAAAACTGATCTGAAGAAGCTTCTTGGATGAGAAGCAAAACATTTTCAAGGAAAAAGCCAAGAAAGTCCAGTTGCCTTTTGAACAGCACCTTTGGGACAACCATGACCTGGATGATGGAGAATCTCCATAGACAATTGCATTGCTTTATTTTGGAAACAGATGTTGGTCCATGTGCCCTGCAAGAAAACCCCAGGCAGTGGGCAGCTGTCCTCCTTTGTCCTTTTTGCCCACTTGGAGATCGGCTGGCTTAGAATGTGGAGGCTCTGCTCAGCTAACGGGTGTGAACAGACCATCCTTGTTGCTAATCTGATTTTGGTGATCCTAGGTGTTTCCGTCCATGTGTGCTTGCACCTTGGCATCTCAGCAGAGCCAACAGCCCCCCTTGTCCTGCTCTTTGTGCTCACCACTGGCCTTCAGAGGGGCTAGGGAGTGGAGGGACCTTGTTCCGGACGGCAATTTCTAAGCACACCAGGCAGACCCCGGCCACTTTGGCAGAGCCCCAAGGTCTTGGAGGTAAAGAAGACAAGGCAGGCTCAGCAGTGGGTTGGGTGGAAAGGGACAAACATGGTGGTGGCTCCAAAGATCATTGGAGAACTCTGGTGTGAAGATAAATGCACCTCTCTCTTGGGGGTAACCTTCTCAGGTGCTACTTTTTAATGCTCCTGCTTGATCAGGAAGTCCCTTCAGGCAGTCACTCATGTCCTGGTCACGTTGTGGCTTTACTGCAAGATGCTCTACATGGGCCTGCTCTTGAAGACTACCCAGAAATTCCAATCGATCCACAGTGCAGCAGTACAACATGGATTGCACTACTTGGCAGCTTGCCAGTCGTTCCACGCGAAGCCTTCCTGGCATAAGGTCTGCTTACTCGAGGGACCCTTGGCTGCAATAATATCTGCCCACTGGCTGAATCTGGCCAGGTTGGCATGCTCCAGGTTCCTCTGATTCAACGGTGTCATCCGTGGGGATCCTGGAGGCCTGCCTGCTTCGCCTGCCTTCCAACGAGGCTTCCCCCGGGATGGGGCGGCCCCCACCCTGCCATTGCTTTGAAGGTGTTGGAGGCAAGAGTGTGTGAAGCCCCTGTGGACTGGGGGTTTCTGCTTCTTTTTTTCATTCCTGTCAAGTTTCTGTTACTTGGGAGCCACCCAGGTAGTTAAGAGTTGGGTGGCATACACACTTTTTAAAAGACTTGCGATAGAGGCAGTGCGCTTGTGCAGGATGATTCCAGCTGAAGGAGTAATTTTAACAGTTCTACAGAAATGGGGATTTGGGGAGGGGTTTGTTGATCAAGCGAGATAGAAGAGACTCTTTGAAGAAGCCCCCCTGCATTCCATGCACTACAATCTCTCCCTTTTTTTGGATGGTGGGGGCTGCATTTGATTCCTTTAAGCAACCTGGTCCTTCCTACATTTTCCCAAATTTCTCAAAGGCAGTATACAAAGTACACAAAGATTAGCCAGTTCCTTCAGTATTTATTGCAGTTTATCTGGCTCTGAAATGGGCGTACCTTGCTATCTGAAGCCTCGATCCTGCCCTTTCATCAGGCTCTTCCTATTGTCTCGGTGCCTTTTGTGGGAGAAGACTAAACCAAGATAGGAGCTGAGCAGTTCTGCCTGTTTTAGTTACCAATTAACATTTTGTTAATTTCGTTGAATAGCTGTGATCCTTTTCTTTCTCTTTCTTAATTCTTTATTTTGAATGTATTTAAAGAAGTGCTCAAAAAGCCCTTTTGACTTAGTGAACATAAGAGTTCAGCGACTCCCCAATTTCTCACAGTGCCAAGCCCTTAGCCAACTAGTTCAGCCTCCCAATCAAACTCTGCGCTGTGCTTTGGCCAGAGACTTTTGCACCAGGCCTGGTGAGGGGCTGCCCACCTCATGCCTCCAGACTACTCAGACTCTGGCCCGAGACAGCAAGTCTCTCCTGTGGGCACAGTTTGTGCCCCGACTCCTCTTCTCCTCTTCTGGGCCATCTGGACGGGTGAATGAATGTGCAGGTCTTTCCTGAAGGTGATGCGGTCTGCTTTAGAGTTTGGGATGTTCTTTGTCCGACTCTTGTGGGAGAGTTTATGCCATGCTTTGTTGAAGTCAGGGTACTGATTCCACTTCATTCTTGTGGTAAGTTAAACTAGCAATTCTGTTGAAAAAAAAAGAGCAGGTTGGCATTGTTTAGAGCAGTGGTTCTCAACCTTTTTAATGCCGCGACCCCCAACCGGTCGTAAGTCAAGGACTAAACCGGTCGTAAGTCGAGGACTAAACCGGTCGTAAGTCGAGGACTACCCAACCGGTCGTAAGTCGAGGACTTTCCCTGCCCGAGAGCGCCGCGCATATGTGGTTCCATCCCCTGCACCGGCCGAGGCGTAGCTGGCAAGCGGCAGAGACGGAGCAGGCCGACCACCAGCTGGCCCAGCCCAAGGGAGGTAAGGCACCCGCCGGAAAAGGAGAAAAAATGGCGGACAAAAAAATGGCAGACAGCCTTGCTTGGCGACCCCGTGAAATGGTCGATCGACCCCAAATGGGGTCCCGACCCATAGGTTGAGAACCGCTGGTTTAGAGAGATTGCATGTAAACACGTTGAGATCTGCAGAATTTGGTGGGGGTGATCACAAAACCATTGCCAGTAATTCGTAAGGGGTGGCTTCAAGTGTGCGTGTCCCTCAGTGGGCTGCTGTTGGTTTCCCTTGGACTCTGAAGGGCTGATGAGACGCAAATGCCCGGGGGAGGACAGCCATTGCAGGGGTCCCGCTGTTTTCTCAGAGGGTCGTGGGGTGCTACGTTTGCCCAGCCAGACACGGCCATATCTGTCTCCGTTTCAAAAAGCCGGGGCTGCCTCCATAAGGAGGGTCCGGCCCCGAGCCGGCTTGCCACCTGCCTGGCATCCCATAGCCTCAGAGGCCTCTCTTGGTGACCAAGCTGGTGAAGGCTTAGCGAGGCTTGATTGGCAGCTTGATTGCCTAGAGCAGCCAAAGCAAGTGACCAGATGATACAACACGGCCTCAGATTGTTTCCAAGACAGGGTGGGGGCCATGCCCTGAAAGGGTGCCTGCCCAGATGGCATCCCTGGGCATCCCGGACCTGTTTTCTTGCCTCTGGGCATTCAGAGTGAGTGGGGGTCAAGCTGGAGAGCACCGGAGTGGCCCAAGAAGGGAGTGGGCTCTGCGGTGGCTGGACAGGAGTGGGAGAGCAAAGAGAGCGGCTCTGTCAGAAGGCACCATATCATTCTTGGAGGAGTCCAAATGGGTGGTCAGTGCAGACCCAATGAACTGGGATCCACAATTTCTCCTGGGCCCACCAGCTCTTCCCATCTCCCGCCTCAATATTTAATCGGAATCCGCCTTCCCATCCCTAAGTCCATTGTCCTGTCCTCTGCCTGGCCATCCGGCCTCTCTCAGGGTTGGGGGGGCTCTTTTCATGTTCTCCTGGTTTGTTTTTGCAACACCTGCCTCCTTCGACCTCCCTGGAGAGGACTTGCTTTCTGGTGGCCTTCGCACGTCTTCCAGCTTTCTAGAACCTTCCTCCACATCTGGCGCCCTGAATCGGAAGTAGCCCTCAAGATGTCTTTCCCCAACTAGAGTCATGTGAAACAACTGATTTCCCTCCCATGATGTAGAAACAACTGCTTTTGTGGATGCCACCAAAATCGCCTTATTTTGTTTTGTTTTTGCAGCCACAACCCACACTCATTTAATGTACAATCAGTCGTGATTATCCTGGTTCTGTGTGTCCGCCCTTCATTTTTGTGGCCTAGATAAAATTTCACTCTATTATGTTCGGCCTATTTCTCTGTCCTAACAAGACCATATAAATTATCATTTGTCTTTTAAGCTATTAGAAGATCAACAGCATTTCTTTTCTTCCTCCAGTCACCCAGTATTTCTCCACTTTCTCAGGAGGCAGTACTTAAGGATCTCAACCAGAGCATCAAGAGGCCTTCCGAGGCGGTGTTTCGCTCAGTCTCACTGCTCTCCCTTCGTTCTTCTCTGCGTCTTCTTTCTTCTTCTGCCTTTTCTTCTCTGCCTTTCGGGAGAACAACTCCTAACTGAAAGAGGAGTGGAATAGCTGCCCTTTTTTCTCCTTGCTGGCTAGAATTTGGCCACATCCACTGAGCAGCTGCTCTTGGGCTGTTGGTCCTTTGCTTTATCTACACCCAGGAACCTATTTGTATTCTTCCCATCCGTGGTCGTCTGCCCACTTTCCTCTTTGTGTGTATTCTTGCCTTCAGGTTGTTAGCAAACCCTTCACGTCACTTCCTTAGTTCCCTCCCTCCCAACTCTTTGCAAGTCCGCTCTGAGCATCTTCTTTTTAGCTGCTACTATTATTTTTTATTTATTTATTTGATTTGTATCCCGCCCTTCTCCTTACCGGACTCAGGGCGGCTAACAGCCTTATAAAACCAATATTACAATAAATACCAATTTAAAACCAGATTAAAAGGAAATATTTGCAATGGCCTAATAATTAAAATTTCCCTTAAAAACCCCACTAAAAATTCCCTAGGCCAATCCCGCTTGTACCTTTTCGGTACAGAAATCCCGCGCCGCCTTCCTCCCCTCTAGGCCCTAGTGGGCCTAGAGACCCCCATCAAGCAAGGTCTCCCACCCCCGAGGGTGTCTCTTCCGGGAGGGGGACCCCCAGCGGTCGGCCGTGACAGACCGACTGCCGTGGGACTCCTCTGGGTGAGACAGGGAGCGTACCGGCCGATGGGAGGTAATCTGCGGCAGAAGGCGGTCTCGGAGATATCCAGGTCCAATGCCATGGAGCGCTTTGAAGATGATGACCAACACCTTGAAGCGCACCCGGAGGGCCACTGGCAACCAGTGCAGCTCGCGCAGCAGCGGTGTTACATGGGAGCGACGAGTCCCTCCCAACACCGCCCGCGCGGCCGCATTCTGGACCAGTTGGAGCCTAGTTGTTGTTGTTGTTACTCCTAGTTGTTGTTGTTGTTACTGTTCTTATCATTGTAGCATATTCTGTGAATGCATATTGGATAGTTTATATTTCAGTGTATAGCAAAAATGTAAACAATTCAACACTCAAGTTAAACGAGTCTCCTGGTTTTTTTTAGCTGATAGTATTTTTATGCCCCATCTGCAAGTTCTAGAAAACATTTTATTTATATTGCACTTAAGATATTCTTAGCCTGCGTCAATTCAAGCTCTGTAATTCAAGCTCTGTGCCAAGGAAAGGCAGATTCTGTGTCATGAAATAAATTATCCAAATAGTGCTAATTTGCATGCTCGCTTTCCTGCATAGCTTAATCTTGCTAATTGGGAAAGAGGCAGAGGCCTGCAAAGCAGCACCAATCAACCCCTCCCTAGTTTTGGAGCCCCCCCCTCCCCGTCCTGCACACCAGATCCAGGAAGGGAAGGGACAGTGCCCTTGGGAGGTTCAGCCAGTCAACCCAGAGCAGGGATTCAAGAGAAAATCTGAACAGACCATAAGCCGCTATTGATTTGCTTCCTCTGCTACGGAATTACTGAGTTAACCAAGATCCGTATTTAAATACACTTTATATATTCACCGCCAAATAAAGCAGAATGCTCTAATGCAGGTCGGTAGCTAAGGAGTTTATTTATTTGTAGAAACACATGGATGTCATGAAAACATCAGTTTCTCTAACCCTCCCCCCCCGCCCATTTTCCTATATTCTTGTAGTATTGCAACTTTTAATTAGAAGCTCAAGAACAAAGTTGTTTTCTCTGCTTTTCACCTATTTGTACACAACCCCTTGGTATTCCTAGCTCTCCTTGTCTGCAGGGTGGGGGCGACATGATTTCCTGCCATTTTGAGTGAGGAGACATGAAACCTGCAGGGCAAACATTACAATTTTGGAGGCCGGCCTGGCCCACCCACTTCAGGCTTTCCCAACCTCAGAGGCCGAGTGCCCGGCTCTCCAGGGACCCGTCCGGACCTCTGGACACCACTAGAATACGGAGGCAGCCCAGTGTGGGAGGGGCTTCTCTCACAGATCCCCCCACCCCAGTTCCTTTCAACAGGCCAACCCCCCCCCCTCGCTTGAAGCCTGAGTTGGTTATTATAGTCCTGGAAGCAGCAAAGAGAACCCGAAAAGAGGCAACCGAGGACGAGCTGCAGCCACGCTGCTTCTCTGCCTCTCATTTTCCGCCTGGGAACCAGCGAGGCCGTGTTGCTCCTGAACCTGTGACGGGAGAAGAGTCTGTGGGATGCCCTCACCCTGGATGAGCCTCTCAGGATTTACTTACCTGAAAAGAGGAGTGTGCTCACTTAAAAGTGGCTCACCCGGTGCTCCCATGAGCCTTGAGTCCCCACCGCACCCACCCCCGGCAGTTGCACCTTGGAATGGGCCCAGCAGCGGCACTGGTTGATCTCCCTTTCTTTGCCCGCAGATGCTGCAGCTGCCTTGTGCCAAGGGCAGGGTGCCCTTCCTGGCCCTCCGACACCTCTTCCGTCACCCCGCTGCCTTCCTGAGCACCCCACGGGTGGAATACAAGCCAATCCAGAAGGTGATGGTAGCCAACCGAGGTGAGCAGGGCTTAGGAAGTGGGATCGCTGGGAGCTGCTTCTGCCCCCCCCCCCCCCAAAGCGCTTGGTTGGGCTGTTTTTTCAGAGACATTTTTAGAAGGAGCCGCCTCATCGGCCTGGAACCAACAGTAGACAAAAACTCTTAAACAATCTGACTGGCCAATTTGGGTTTCTTTGACCCTGATCCCAAATGCTTTTCTAAAAGCCGATAGCTCGCTCATTTTGATGTTGGGCTCTCCATTTTCCTGTGTATTAACGCTCATGAATTCCAGGGGAGATCGCAATCCGGGTCTTCCGAGCCTGCACGGAGCTGGGCATCCGGACGGTGGCGGTCTATTCCGAGCAGGACATAGGGCAGATGCATCGACAGAAGGCGGATGAGGCGTATCTGATCGGCCGCGGCCTTCCCCCGGTTCAGGCCTATCTACACATTCCTGACATCATCAAAGTCGCTAAGGTGAGAAGGCAAAAAGGCCCAGTGTGCTCCACCTCTGACCTGGCTGGCCAAAGACAAGCAGGTATTCCCATAGCGTGCCCACAAGGAGCCCAGCGGCCAGGGGAAGCCATCCTTTGGTTTGGGGTGCTGAAATCGTAAATTGGGGGTGATACTCATTTGTATGTCTTGACCTCAGACTGGCGAAGCGATGCCTGGATCAGCCCTGGATCCTCTTTCTGGGAGACTTCTGAGATTTGGTTCCAGATGGGGTTGCTTTTCCTTATTTGGGGCTGCTGCACATCTGGAGCTCTTCCTGGACTCTTTGCTGCTCCTTGAGGGGGAGGGGGCAGCTGCAGCCAGGAAGTCCTTTGAGGAGATCCATCCTGTGTGGTCAGTTTTGCCTGATACTGGACTGGAAATTTTTCACACCTCGGTCACCTTGCATTTAGACAATTGCAATGATATGGGGCTGCCCTTGAAGGCTACACAAAACCTGCTGCTGGTTCAAAATGTGGCAGGGTGATCAGTTCTGGGCAGGTCTCCTCATGGCCTGTGAGGCCTCTGCTCCCAAAAGCTGCTGGGTGCAGTTCCAGATGTTGCTTATCAGCCTTCAACACCTACATGGCTCAGGGCCTTGTTATCTGAGGAAGCGCCAAATTCTCAATCGACAAAGGACAAAAATCCAAACATCCTGAACTCTTGTTGACCTAGAGTCAAATATAAAAGTTGGAAGGGATCTTGGAGAGCATCTAGTCCAACCTCCTTCCCAGCAGAGGAATCCATTGCTATGGCATCTTCAAACTGCTTGGAAGCTTCTTGGTAGAGAATCTATGAATTTTTTGCCAAGATGCCAACACATTTTCTTTTCTTGTTTTACATCTCCCTGTTGTTATGAGAGGTTCAATATTTCTGTGTCTACTGATAGCGATGGCAGAGGATTGCAGCCATTTATTCCTTGTAAAAAGGAAGCTATGTGGCTGTAAAAGATTTTATATGAGAAGCAGTCCTCTTTTCACTGCAGATTTCTGCTAACATGAAGGAATTTTAGTCAAGTGAAAAAAAGATAAGAGACTGGCAAGCAGTAGGCCTATTTGGGATTAAAGATTGAGCTAAAATTGACCCAGGGTCAAATTGACCCAGCATGTCCAAACGTGAGCACACACTGACCCCACTTTCCCTACACCTAACACGGTACTGTTTGCGCCAGGTCCTGGTGGGTCACAGTGGGAATCGTATGCGTTGGATGCAAAGGTTCTTGCTCTCCTTTAAAAAGTCAAGCTGCTTTCCAGATTATTTTCTCTAGTTCCGAGTTACAGACTGACCGCCGGGAGAGACCTTTGTGATCCAGTGGGCCTCGGCCTCCTCCACAAGCAGCTCATTTTGGGTGCCTCCAGCTCAGCATCGTGTGGGTGCAGGAGGACCAGTTTCATTTCCCAACAGCTGCACAGGCAGGAGGGTTAAGAAAAGTGGGCAAAACAAAGAGCTGGGTCCCCCGGCCACTCCGCTCCTGCTCCTTGGTGGTTTCTCTGCTCTAGTAGAAGCCTGAGCGGACTTTGCTTTTCCTCTCCGCTGATGGCTTTTGGTGAAGCGTTTGGTCTGTACTCGGGACAGACGGATGTCCTCCTGAGATTCTCCCTCTAAATCCTCCCTGGAGCGTTGGGGGGGCCTTCCGGGACAGACCAAGGGTGCCTGCAAAGAGAGAGATCAGCCCCTGTTGTGCAAGCAGATGCGGTTAACACGGATGATCTTGCATTCAAGACATTGAAAATAATCTCTTTCAAATATGTGTCTCTGCACAAAGATTTTCAGCATAAAGTTAAGTTTTAGTTCAGTAGATGGTTTAAACCAGTACCTGCAGGAAGTGTTTTTATGTATGTTTTTGATATTTTAGACACGTTTGCAGGAGAGGAACAGCAGGTAGGTTTTCTAAATAAACAGCCTGTCCAATTTACAAACCGCAGGGCTGCTTTGCTTGAGAGAGCAAAGATTTCCAGCGCTTCCTGCTTTTTCCAGGAGAATGCGGTGGATGCGATCCATCCCGGCTACGGCTTCCTCTCCGAGCGAGCTGACTTCGCCCAGGCCTGCCTAGAAGCTGGGGTGCGCTTCATTGGACCCTGTCCCGAAGTGGTGCGCAAGATGGGTGACAAGGTGGAGGCCCGTGCCATTGCTATTTCTGCCGGTAAGAAGGTTTGCCTCGCCAAGCAAGCTGTTATACAGTGACCAACTCAGTTGCCCAAGAAGCCCAGAGAGCTGGCTTATGGCAGTCCATCGATTAAGACAGTAAAACAGTCGCTTCTTACGGTTTCATTCCTGGGAAACTGGTTCTCCCATTCAGAGGTCCAGTAGCCCTTTCCAAACTAATCCAGAGTTCTACCTGGCCTGCTCAAGAGAGATGAGCCTCTTTCCCTTTGGACGGAATTTCCTGCCTTCTTACATGCAACTTTAAGCTTCTTTCTTACTTGGAGTCCTGAGGGACCAGCTTTATCTCTAGTCCAGGTGGATACAAAAGAGTTCCAACAAACAGGCAGACATTGATGCCTTGGACCGTTCTGGAGAAGTCAGATCTGCCCCCATCCCATATATATACCCCCTCCCATTTATACTCTTTTAACTTTATTCCAGTTTCCCAGAGTACACTCAAAATTAAAAACAATGTTAGCTAATTCTCTATGTTCCATGAAACTTGCAGTCTTAAATCCTAGAAACTAATNTACCACTCAACCATTGCCCCATTTTGAACAGAGAGGCTGAAGAACAATCCATATCTTGTCACCTTCTCTGAATCTTGCAGGAAACTATGCAGTTGCTTTGGGAGAATCAGGCTAGTGGTGCATTTTTATTCCCATGGTCAGCGAAATTAGTTGTCCTATTAAAAAGCAGCTCAGGTTGTTTTGACGTGGTTTATTCTTGATGCACCCAAAATAAGGAACCACCATAGAAGTGTCCATTGCCAGTCACTGGGGGCCAAAAATATGTTGAAATTTTATCCCCTTTTCAGAAGAACACGGGGGTGGTAGGGGTGGTGGGGAGAATATCCCCTGAAGTGGGGCTATTGATGAGCTGTGGTGGTGCAGTGGTTAGAATGCAGTACTGCAGGCTAATTCTGCTGCCTGCAGCCTGCCAGCAGTTTCGCAGTTCGATTCTAATCGGCTCAAGGTTGACTGAACCTTCCATCCTTCCCATGTCAGTAAAATGAGAACCCAGATTGTTGGGAGCAGTATGCTGACTGTGTAGACCACTTAGAGAGTGCTGTAAAGCACTATGAAGCGGAATATAAGTCTAAGTCAGTGGTTCTGAACCTTTTTAATGCCGCGACCCCAACCGGTCGTAAGTCGAGGACTAAACCGGTCGTAGGTCGAGGACTAAACCGGTCGTAAGTCGAGGACTAAACCGGTCGTAAGTCGAGGACTACCCAACCGGTCATAAGTCGAGGACTTTCCCTGCCCGGGAGCGCTGCGCATGCGTGGTTCCGCCCCCTGCGCCGGCCGAGGCGTAGCTGGCAAGCGGCAGAGACGGAGCAGGCCGACCACCAGCTGGCCCAGCCCAAGGGAGGTAAGGCACCCGCCGGAAAAGGGGGAAAAATGGCGGACAAAAAAAATGGCGGACAAAAAAAATGGCGGACAGCCTTGCTTGGCGACCCCCATGAAATGGTCGATCAACCCCAAATGGGGTCCCGACCCACAGGTTGAGAACCACTGGTCTAAGTGCTGTTGCTATTGCAGAGAAGGACAGGCCTCTCTGAAGCACTGGAACATACAGCCATGCCTCCTTTTTGAAATACCTGCAACCTGCCTGCTGCATTGTCCATTCCAGACTTTTGGCCAGTATCAACCTCAAACTGACCATCTTGCAGACAACTGTATGGGAGGCTTCTATGGGAAGCTAAAGCCAATATTGCACCTAAGGTCACCGTCCTGCCTGGCTTTCAGGTGTAATTGGTCTCAAATGTGAAATCATCCCCCTTTGAAGACTGAAACAGGTGCTCTAGAGCAGGGCTTTTCAACCTTTTCACAGATTGTACCAGTTTTAGGATATGGCAATATTTGAGCACCACCAGTCGCTTAGCAAGGTGTCAAAAACTTGACCAAAAAAAAAGGAAAAAAGTGATAAAATACAAGTAGTCCTCGACTTACAACAGTTCGCTTAGTGGCTGTTCAAAGCTACAACGGCACTGAAAAAAGTGACTTATTACCGTTTTTCGCACTTAGACCGTTGCAGCATCCCCAGGGTCAATCTACATTTGGATGCTTGGCAACTGATTCATATTTATGATGGTCACAGTATGCCAGGATCATGTGATCTCCTTTTGCAATCTTCTGACAAACTAAGTCAATGGAGAAACCAGACTCACTCCTCCTTTTATATCGCCTCTTGTCTCATCCCTCTTTTATATTCTCTCTTCTCTCCCCTCCTTCTTTTATATCCTCTCTTCTCTCCCCCCTTTCTTATATCCTCTCCCCCTTCTTTTATATCCTCTTCTCTTCCCTTCTTTTATATCCCCATAGCCCCACAGAAGCGCCAATCAGCTGTAGCTGCTTGTGGCGATCCTGGGCTTTGCCCAGCCCCGACAGCCCTCCTTCGAACTGGGGCATTTCCAATCAAGTTGTCTTTCCAACCAAGTTCCCTCCCTCCTTCCTTCCTTCCTTCCTTCCTTCCTTCCTTCCTTCCTTCCTTCCTTCCTTCCTTCCTTCCTTCCTTCCCTCCCTCCCTCCCTCCCTCCCTCCCTCCGCACTCAGGAAGGGATGACAGGAGGGGGAGAGAGTGCCGGTGGACATGCTGCCGCTAGCCGTAGCCATCCCATGCAGCCAGGGGCGGTCCTGGTGAAAGGGAAGCCTGGTGGCTGCGAGGCGAGGTCAGCGAACGGGCGTGGCACTGATCTACCGGTGGGGGCC